CAGACAGACCTTCAAAGTAGCAGCTTGTTGACCTGCTGCTCACTAAGTCATAGCCCTGCCAGTACACACAGAACAAGAAAAAAAAAAAAAAAACATAATGCTGCTGTAGCCTTCCCCTATCACTGGAGACCCTTGCATCAGATAGCATACAAAACATTTGTGATGGCACACTCCCTGCCTAAAAGACCTTATAAAGCAACTGTAATGATAATGATCATCACCTTTTTGAGGCATCTCATGGCATGAGATACTGAAACAGAAGAGGATTTTAGTTCTGCTGGGAATCACTTCATCTGCAGAGAAAAGTAGAGCTGTGCAGGATGTGGGGAAGGTACTAGACATAATTCAAGTCTATGCCACTTGCCTGGACCTGTCACTAGAACAAACACACCACACTTCAGTGTATTTAATCTCACAATTTCTCTGCAAAAGAGGAAAAGTACCTGTATCCCCCTTTTACAGTTGAGAGATAAAGCAAGTAGCAGCAGCTTGGTGACATGCTTAATATCATCAAGGGTGTTTAGAGACTATCAGGATTGGAACGGGACTAGTGCTCCAAATTTCTAGTCTTCCAGTCTCTAATGACAGACTCTGAATAGCTCTGCATAGCTCTGCTTTGAAAAAAATCAGCCCTCCGCATGCAAAATACAAATCTGCTTCTCAGGGGTGACATGCAGCATGAGTTAATCTGTGTAAAATGCTTTTAAGATTCTCTGTTGAAGTATGTTGTAGAAGGCCAAATCTTATTATTAGCACCAGCAAGAGAGAAGAATTGGGAAATCCATTTGTCTTAGCCGTTCTAGCCTACAGGGCCCATCAGTGGGGCAAGAGCACAATGGCCTGAGCGCAAAAGGAAAATCTGAGTTCTTACAGTTTCACCTTCTGTCGTGTTCCAGGAAACATGGCAAGCCACAGCACAAGCAGAACTAAGCACAGTTCTACCGTGGTGGGACAACTTCTCTGAGGACACAATAGTCCCCAAAGTTTCTCTTCTCAGGAGACAGCCAAGCCTAAAGCAGCTCAACATACCCACGTAAGAAGTCGAAATCGGAGAGGCACTATAGACCCTTATAGAGTCAAATTACCTCATGGCATTACTATGCATACATGGAAGTTTCTGCTCAGTTTAACCTATGAAAATGGATGCTTGAAAATTCATGAGATAATATCAACATATTTTCTACAGAAATTTATATACTAATTAAAGGGCTTCTAAATAAGCCTCTTCAGACTCAAATTTCCTTTACTCTCCTTGCTTTGTGCTGGCTGTTTGCTACGGGTGCAGAATGCCTCAGGATCTTTTTGGATAAAAGGTACTACATACATTAGCTCTGCATATCACATTTATGGCTCTATATAGCAGCTGTCTATACACTGCAAGAGTTTAGCCAGAAACATTAGCGCTGCTTTCCGAGCTCTAAAATACACGTATCAACGCTGAAATGTAAAGAATAAATAATTTCTTGCTCTGTTCTAAGAAGGTTGAATCGAGAGTGGAAGGATAGCAGAAAAGGATAAAAGGCTGTTTGCTTCCGGCCACCGTTCATTTGTGAAGCTGCAGCTGTCCATATGGAGCCTGAATGCTGGCAGCAAAAGCAACTCCATTCATCACTCACCCGTGTGCCTTTTTGAGCGGCAACAATGCTGCTGAGCTCTAATGCCCTCAGAATGTTTGCCGGTGCCCAGTGAAACGGCCTTGGCATTGCCGAGACAGTTGTTTGTCAGAAGCTGGCGGGGGGCTGCAGCCCGCGGTCCGCCGCGCTCGCCCGCGCACGGGGAGAGCGGTCGCAGCGATTACTCTCCGTCAGTGCTAATCAATTTCACACCCTCTTCAGTGCTGACACAGATAATCTTGTGGGAAGCAGGCCAGACTCACTAACAGCTCTGCAAGCTGCTTCCTGACTCCAACAGCTCATTCTCTTTCAGAAAGTCTGTTCCAGCTTCAGTTCCAAGAAAGTACTATGTGGTACCAAAGCTCATGTCATTCAAAACGATTCACTGCTGGTGTGCAGAGAGCACACCAGACTTTGGCTAGAGTCCCATTTAACTAATCAAAATAGAAGTCGTCTTGCAGCTGATCAGAAGTCTAAAGACCAGGGTAGGAGGCCTTGCACATTATCATGTAATTGTCTCACTGCATTTCGCTTACTCTCCATCTGCCAAACCAAGTCAGGTGTCAGCCAAGTCAAAGTGAAGGCCAACTGAAGCATAGATCTAGGCCCTCCTAGTGAAATTCACTCTAAGAAATGGCCCAGGAGCACTTGCTGTAAAGTAATTCTCAGGCCGTCTTGTCTGAGGTAACCAGAAGTTGGAGAGCGGGGCAACAGTCAGCACAGGTATGAAGGCCTGGCTCAGAAGAATGGTCTGGCCGAGCCAGAAGTTCTGTACAGACAACATTTGGGTATCACTCCATTGTTGAAATTCTATTCAGCTGTTTGCAAGAAGCCATGCAGAAAGAAGCCAAGCCAAATAAGCTAAATTAAAAGAAATCCTTCAGTCACTGCAAGAGATTTAAGAACTGAAAGGAGAAAGAGGCATCACAGACATGAGCTAGCACCATGTACAGAACACGAGCAATGCATACATGTTTCTCTCCTTCAATCTTCTTATCAGCTGCCTGCATTGCATCCAGGTACTTAAAATACAGTTCCATCAGCCGATCAACCTGCAAAGGCAGAAGAGAGAGAACTAAGCAAGACAAAAGAACAATGCAATCATCTTTAATCCTTCATACTATGTTGTTTTCCCCCCTAGCTGCAATCTTCACAAAATAACAGGCAATTCTGTCACTCACAAGAACGAACACATTACAGGAGAATGGGACAAGTGTTGGACAGAGGAGCACGCTGAGTCTGCAGGCATCTGGATGCAATCCCAACATCCAATGGTATCACAATATGGTCTTATCAGCTCCAGCTAAATGGGAGCAAACAGATACGTGTCCCTACCTTGCTTGCTCTCCTGCTTTGTGGTTCTCCAATTCTCCCGGTTTCTTAAATGGACCTTTCTGCCTGTATATGCTGTATATGATCAAGCTTCTGTGAAACGTATCATCAGACGTGTTACGGCTCTCCTGAGCTCCACTGTACTGGACTAAGCAACTGAAAAACTTTCTAGTAGCAGAACATTTTCTGCAATTGAACACCTTTAAAAAACACACTGAAGAGGAATATAGAGGAACCAATATTATCTTAGCAGTGGAATTTACAAATCCCATGGGAACTACTGGTTTGTAAGAATGGCTGTTTGCTGTTTTGCAGCTGTTTGATCTATCAACCACCATGTAAATATTTTGGGAAGGATTTCCTAAACACCACTGAGGTCGCCCGTTCTAGGAGAGGAATGGGGAACGTTAAATGTATACTAAAGTGATCCCTAAACTTTCTGTAAGAGAGCTTCACTAGAAGAAACTGGCACCTTTCCATACTTCCCTGGTCCCACAGGGCTAGCTCAATATAACAACACGTAACATGTGTTATACGCTCAGGCTTCAGGAGAGACACGCAACTCAGGATCAGGAATCATTGCTAACACATGCAAGAGCACCAAGAAACAAAAGCACCTATGATGCAGGAGGCCAAGCACTAAAGGCATTTTCAGTTCTCCTGTTTGTTGATAACACCACAAATGAGGAGGAGGGCATTTGTGCATGCAAATCTTTACAGGCAGATATAATAACTTTTTTTAGTAATTTAGGAAGTGCACACAGGCATCCTGCCACTATCAACCATCCTCCCCAGTCTGTTAGCCCAGAGAGTACAAACAAATATTCAGCACTCACCTTCTCACTGTCATTCTCTGTGAATTTATTCAGCAACCGCGTCCTTTGCTGCCCTCTTAGGTTTCGCAGAAGGGAGGCCAGGATGGAACAGACATGTTCTGGAGGTACAGAATGAAAATTGCATGCTGAGATCAGAAAGAGAGGCTTATTTTCTTTGCAACAGGCCGTTAAATTTACTACTAACACTCCAGTATGTAACTTTTTGAAACCAGGAACCCTCAATCCCCACCCATCACATCAGAGATAGAAGACAGAACAGAGTTTAGTAAGCTGTCTTAGAGAGAACACAGACAGCTCCTCTCCCATCACAACCAAACCAGAAAGGTCTCTTCTGGATTCTGTTGTAATACACTTGCTACACTGATCCTGTTTGGGAATATGCCTAGTTTAACAACAGTGACCCTGAGAAAAACAACTTAAAGCACAACTTCTACTTCAGTTCAGCTCCCCAGGCTGACATACCTGCCTTGAAGCACACATTCTTTTTGGCATTCTCCATCATAGCTAAAGGCATAGCACTTTGTTTCCTCCCTTGCGGCCAAAAGGAACATTGACCCCAAACCAGGGTTCGTTTGGAAGCTGACACTGTCATTCAAATGACCCTTAGGTTACCAAACAGGAAATGGTTATTAAAAGAGGAAAGCTTGAGAAAGGAATAACTATGCCAATGTACAGCTCCTGCAGAGACTTAATTGGTATTAGCTAGACAAAAAACCTCAAACAAAGCACTCTTATTTACAGAAAATCCAGTGAATTGAATATGAATGTGCCACAGCAAACAAGAAATGATCAAATAAATCTGTTCTAGTCTTCCAGACTCCACTTGGGGGGGGGGGGTCATATTTTACAGTGCAAACCTTGGAGCCAAGTAAAAAGTCAAATTTGCAAGCGCACACAAGAGATAGCATCTATGTTTATGTGCAACTGAAATTTCACTTTGAAAGCTGACCGAACCAAGTGCCTCAAATCTATAACAATGTTTGTCTCCTTCCAAACAGCAGTACAGAGCTCTAAGGTGTTTTTTTCTTTATGAACGCAGATGTCCCTCAGTAGAGGGGCTATCAAAGAACATACCTGAAGGGCCACACAGCATTGCTTCTTTTCTGTCTTACAAGCACCTTTCAGAAGGTCCTCTCAAACAAACATCACAGCAGAACCTCTCCTAGACTAACAAAACATGGTACACTCCCTTATCTAACGCCAGTTTCTGCAGAGTAGTGAACACATTCAAGTGGAGTTCAGGCAACAGAGTGCTTCATAACTCTGTACTGAGCTCTTTGCTTCGGAAGGCAAGGAAGCAAAGTGCTCTGTTCTACAACTTTACCCTTGGAGGATGTATTATGCTTCTTAAACACTAGTATTCGGCTTTACCAGACTTCAGTGAAGTAGAAAAGAATATGCTTTTGTGTCCTTGTTTCTTCAGGAGGATTCACCAGTTTTATGTGTAATTTATATAAAATGTATGTATAAAATCACACTGGTTTTGAAACATATTTCCAACCAAGCTCTTAAGTTGCAACTGTCACAAGCTCCGGCTCTTTCATTTTGCCAGTGAACAATGCCTTGGAGAAAGAAAAAAAAGAAAAGAAAAAGAGAGAGGAAAAAAAAAAACAGGAATAAATTCACTTCTAGAAACGAGGCTGAGTTCACAGAAGGAACCCAAAGAAGATAAAGGGGTCTTGTTTTCCTCTGTGAAAAGAGAGTATTGTGGGACATGCACAGCACTCATTTGCACTCCCTACATCACTCTTACAAGGGCATAGGATATGCAGAGATGTAAATCACTTGCAAAACATATGCCAACATCAGAAATGATGCAGGGTATCAAAGAGTACATGGTTTTAATACAGGGGAATAAAACCGAGCACAAAGGCACAGAGCAAATGATAGAGGCACCAGTTTCTCTTCCCTGCCAAATCATTTAGTATTGCTTCCTGCCTACAAGTCTGCATTAAGTACAGACCTCATGTTTCAGATAGCTCAATATATTCAAAACTCTAACTTCTCCAAGATGTCTTCGCTTTAATCTTGCTGATTAAGACTGATGAAAAATAGCGGTTATAAAAATGTCCTCACCTAAGGTGGCGGGAGGGGGGGAAGGGGTGTCAAGGTTTGTTATTTTCAGAGAGAGAATACGATCTACAGAGGAGAGGGATAGTTATCTTATTGCCGTCAAATCATTTTAACGTGCATTTCCACAGCGCTGCTTAGCCTGGAGCCACGAGAAGCCTTGAGCAATTGCACTAGCATACAAAGAACAAGCGGCATCTACCTGCTTGCACGCAGCGTTTGCACTAACCGCCAGCTTACGCTTTCCTTTAAAGGCTAAAGTCACACAAGCCACTTGCCCAAGTTGTGGGTCTGCCCTTTGTACCACAGATTATCTGCATACTACAGCAGGGCAGCAAACAGAAGGGGATATATACACATACGCACACACATCATTTCATTAGCTACTTATAAATGTAGCTTCCTTAGAAACAGATTTCTGCCTGAGGTGGTGTCAATTTTTCATGTACCAAAGAGATTGGGAGAGCTGCTGGCAGAAGAGCAGAGGCGATAACAGGTTTATCTGGTGGCCAGCACCATTCAGCTGCTCTGTCATTCCGACAGGATAACACGGAGGTGAAGGATGGCTCTGGATATGTCAGTACAGGCTCCTGCTGCAGAGGAACAATTATTCCACAAGAACTACATCAAATTAGGTGTCTAAATTAAAAAACAAAACAAAAAATGCAAAAGCCTCCAAAGTCCTTGCAACATCCTATTTTCTTAAAGTGAAAAAGTATTTTAAAAAAGGCATGTTTTTTGTTTTTGTTTTGTTTGTTTAAATATATCCTAACAGATGCTCTTCTGCTTTCAAAGGAAATCAGTAGTTCCAGCCTACTAGGGTTCACCTACTCTGCCTGGAATAGGAAGGAAAAATCAGGGTATTGGTCAGACACTGTTCTGCTCAGCCATTACGGTCTCTCCTAATATGTGATGATTTATTCTGCCATTTTGATGGGCTTCTCATTCCCTTCTTTTCCTTTAAAGATTTGTCACAGGTACTTGAACAGCACAGTTACTCTGGGAACAGAAAAAGTCTTTTTAACCTACCACCATACTGAGCACTGACTCCTGACCTTCAGGTCCCTTTTCTAGTAGTACCCATGGAGGTGGGACCATGAGCTGGGAAACACAAACAGATCTGGTGACAGAGTGAAAATGGAATTATTTTCTGAGGCTTTTTTTTTTTTTTTAAAGCCCAGAAAGGAACACTGTGCACATCAGATCCAACCTCTTTTACGCCATAGGCACAATTGCACAAAGCATTTCACAAAGCAATTCCTACATCAAGGCTACGGTTTCCAGATAAACCCATATCTACTTTTTAAATAAACACCTTGCTTAGAGTTACAATTTAAATTATATTTCACCCTTGACAGCTGCTCTAATAGCTGGTTCTACTTATTGTTTAAAATTTGCATTTTATTTCCTGGTTGAATTCCTTTGGCTTCAACTCCCAGTCAACTGGCTGGTTTTGCTTCTGTTTGCTAGATTAAAGGAATCTCCAATATCAAGCATCTGTTCCCTACAAGGGTATTCATTTAAGTCATTCAAGTTCTGTATTAATCACTTCTCTGACCCTCCCCCAAAAAAAAAAAAAAAGAGAATGCCTCAAGTTATAAAATATATATTCAGAAAAAAATTTATCTTGTTATTCCTATTTCATTCCTTCCCCCCCCTCTTCACTTTTTTGGGGGGGAAGTGTTGACACTGTATTTTAGCAGTAGTACGCTCACCAATGGTGTATATCCTTGTTATTTTTCAATGTTCCTTCACTTCACAAGGAATCACATTTTAGCCATCGTTTTTACTTTGCCATCATTTCTGCTTTGGTGCTCACAGGCAGATGGCTATCTACATTTATCAGTAAAAATCTTTAAAACTACTGAGAAGTCTAAAAAAAAGTATGTATCTTAAGAATGCTTGAGGTTATTCTTTATACACATCACTTCAGGAAATCCAGGAAATATATAATTGTCTGGGCCACATGTTTGAAAAATCATTTTACACAAGTGTTTAACTAAACCTTTTTCTTGATCAGCTTCTTGAAGAGTGCTCTAGCGTGGTTCATACCCACCCCCCAGTCACAACTAAACTGTAATGGCCCAATAAACATCAACATCTATGTGGCAAGACCACAAGAACATTAGCCAAAAATAAGACAAATCTTGGGGTACGAGAAGTACTACAGAGTAGGTGCCTGAATCCACTGCGCAGTGGATTAGAGTATCTAAATAACCAGTAAGAAGCGAGAGGTGCTAGCCTGGGAACACGTGCATTTCTGCAGACACGGGGACCTTGCCATTTTCCAGTGAACTGCACTAATATATACCTCATACATGCAAAATTAAAAACAAAAGAGCATAACCCCTGTGTTTACTCTCAGGGGGATCTTTGGAAAAGGATTAGCAACCGTTGCTATTCCGAATCCCTCAAAGTGAAAGCTGCAGTTGCTCAGATACAGGCCACGTTTTAGCATTCCTCAAGCTGCACACCACCCTCGGGCAACACCTCCGGCAGTCGGACCGACTGCGACTGCCAGCGCCCAGCCCGGCCCAGCCTCCCCTGCACAAAAAGGGTCCTTTCCAGGGAGGGAAACGGACAAGGCCGGAGGCAACGGTTGCTGCCCGTCCCCAGTTTCTAAGATTGACTATATATATGTGTGTCTGTATATATAGTTAGATAGAATATGTGTTATATATAACATATACACACACATACAAATAAAATATATTTATTTTGAAAAAGAAAAAAGAAAAAAAGAAACCCAGAGTCAGACTCAGCACCAACTAAGGTTACTTTACTAGGAAGAAAGTTATCAGCTGGCAGCTGAGAACAACTTTTTTCAGTATAAACATCCCAAGAGCTCACAAATTCATGTATACGTGGAGTGAAGAACTTTCTTTCTTATTACTGAATAACATTGTTTTCTTTCCCATCCACCAGTTCACCTGCAAGTACCTGTAATTCTAGGTTTTGTTATGCACTGCCTACATTTCGGTGCAACCCACAAGGCGAGCTACATCTGGTTTGTTCTAGGCAGGTCACA